AAACACACTACGCACACAGATATGAACGCGCACAAAATTAAACGATGCCATCAATCGACCAGTACGTCGTAAATTAGCGGTGCCAATCTCTGCCACAGGCTTCCAACTGGGCACTGTCATCCAGCCGCCGGAAACCTAGAACAATGCTGAGCGTGGAGCTTAAAATCCATCACATTGCGTATTTGCATATTTCATTGGCTTCTAGCGCTGGGTCCAACCTTGAAAAATTCGGAGCAATCGCAATGGTCGGTATCAAGGAACTGGTCCTGGCTCCGGGATCAGTGTTATCAAAAAATGACAATATTCTGTAGTTTAAATGAATTTCGAGCTCAGCATAAACAAAAATAGGTCTGCGAATGCTATCAACACTATCAGTAATACTTTGGCTTGTTTGCATACAAATATGTGACGGAGTCCCATGCTGGTCTCTTTCTAATTTCTACCCTCTCAATGAAATGACTGAGACTTTTTGATAATGCTTTATTACAGTTTATCGCCAAACATCATCTGTTTACTCGATCTCGTGCAGCGCGAGACTATAAAGCAGTTTATTTGATATCGGAAAGAAAAGTCTTGATCTCCCACTTCTTCGGAGTTCTGAGCTTTTAATTTCCAAAATAGAAACTAAAATGATGAACGGAATAATTGTTTCTTCGTGACAATTATCGCTATCTCGAGCTATCGAGTTTTCTTATGTTTACCGATTCTTGCTTGAGAACGTTTAGTCGGTACCTCAGGGTATATAAGCACTGAACGCCGATCATTTTGAAGATAGCTTATGACCCATAAGTGTTATGAGGAAGACGCAAGGAAGGTCTGTGTATTTACACGAATTTTCGCAATATTTGTTAAGCAGTCGTAGACTGGGCAATGAGTGGACTCGTGGTCCGATTGTATTGGGCATCATTACGGCAGAGTGAAAGTAGCAGGGCGAAAGCAGGTGAAAGGTTGCGAGTGTTAGTACAATGGCAATCAATCTTCCTACAATATTTCATTGGCCATTGCCAGTCAGACCAAAAACAGATTTCCGCGGTGGTCAGCAGGACACTGGTGCTGAGCCCCAGTGTCAGCGTTGAAAATAGCGTTAGGTCACCGCATTAACAACGCAAAGTTACCGCAATATCATGCCCGTCGTTAACAAGATATAACACTGGCCTTTCAAACATTTCTGGTATTTCCGGTGTCATTATTTTCGTTCTCAGGTACCGTGATTGCAAAAGATTTTAAGACGTGTTCTGGATCTTAGAGTAAACTTCATACCTATAGAGAGGAGAGTGAGAGAGACGGAGGAGAGAGAGAGAGAGAAGAAGGAGGAGAGGAGAGGGAGAGAGAGGAGAGAGAGAGAGAGAGAGAGAGAGAGAGAGCACCTCACACCTCTGTATTAGCTGTGGCCAGATCTGTCCCTAACCTCTGTTCGGCAGGATAATGTAACGCGGTGAAGTAGTAAAGCTGAAAATGGCATACATGGGGGTTTACCAGGGAAAAC